CTCAGACGTTTCTTATGTTGAAGTGACACACCTCCACATTGTAGCTGGCACAGTAACATGTTGCAACACACAGTTTGGAAAGCTCTGCTTTAAAGTAATATCCACTGGTTTCCTCTGAAGGAAAAACAAGTGTAGTAAACAAAAAAGAGGTTGACAGATACAGGCAGTCCCCAAGTTATGAACCAGACAGATTCTGTAGGTTTGTTCTTACACAGAATTTGTATGTAAGATGGAACAGGTACATTTTTAAGTGGCTCTTTTCTCTCTCTCTCTCTATGGGGAGTTCCACTTAAAAATGTTTTTATTATGCTATACCCTAGTTATATTTCACCTGGTAATGCTCAGCATTATTTTAAATTTTTAATTATTACATTTGGCCCAGCCATAGGTTTTTTAAATGTTGTTGTGTTATTGTTAATGTTTACTGCTTATTTTATTTATTTATTTATTTGCTTTATTTCTATACCGCATTTTTCAGCCCTTAACAGGCGACTCAATGCGGTTTACATTGTACAATTATCAAACAGTGTCAGTGCAATTAAAACATAACAATGCAACAAACAGGATCAACAGCATCAATCCACAACAGTTAACAATCAACAAGACAGAACAACAAAACAGACATAACATAACGCCTCAGTTGAAATCAGATCCGTTCTCATAATCCTTGTGCCATTCCTATGTTCCATTTACCGTCTTCCTATGATTGGTTGCACTGCTTAACCAAACGCTTGTTCATAAAGCCAGGTCTTAACCATTCTCTGAAACGTCAGCAGCGAAGGTGCCTGTCTGATGTCTGCCGGTAGGGCATTCCATAGCCGAGGGGCCACCACTGAGAAGGCCCTGTCTCTCATCCCCGCCAAGCGCGCCTGTGACGCAGGCGGGATCGAGAGCAGGGCCTCCCCAGATGATCTTAATGTTCTGGTCGGTTCATAGGTGGAGATGCGTTCGGAGAGGTAAGCAGGGCCAGAACCGTTTAGGGCTTTATAGGCTAAAGCCAGCACCTAAAGAGTTGCTAAATGACTCCAGGTCTCCACCGCTTCTAAAAATAGGGCCAGAACCGTTTAGGGCTTTATAGGCTAAAGCCAGCACCTTGAATTGTGCCCGGTAGCGGATTGGCAGCCAGTGGAGCTGGTTCAGCAGAGGAGTGGTGTGCTCCCTGAGTGCCGCTCCCGTTAGCAACCTGGCCGCCGAGCGCTGGACCATCTGAAGCTTCCGGGCAGTCTTCAAGGGCAACCCCATGTAGAGCGCGTTGCAGTAATCAATCCGGGATGTAACCAGAGCGTGGACTACCGTGGCCAAGTCAGACTTCCCAAGGTACGGGCGCGACTGGTGCACAACATTTTCTGTTATGAGTTTTATTTTATTGTTTTGTATTACTGTTGTTATTGTTTTTACTGATGTATTGTGGGCTTGGCATCATGTAAGCCGCACCGAGTCCCTTGGGGAGATGGTAGCGGGGTAAAAATAAAGTATTATTATTATTATTATTATTATTATGTTAAACAACCTGTCTTTCTATATAGTGGGTCCTGCTCCATTTTAACAGCACAGGCCATACTCAAGTTACAAATATCCGACTTACAAACGATTCACAGTTAAGAATGGGAGTTACAGCAGGAAGTGAGAGAAATCTCCGCCTCGGAAGGGAAAATCACTTCTGAAAGAGTTATCATGGGGAAAAGGTATCTCTACTGAAGTTTTCTCACCAATCCTTGTTTCCACAACAAGCCACATTTTTCAAAATCCAATTCTCTCAGGGACGGAAAGTGAGGTGAAATCTTCTAAAACGGGGTTAACACTCCTGTGGCATTTATTTTTCTGTCTGCGACCTGGTTAGAAGATGTCACCTCCCTTTCTGTCCCTATGAGAATTAGATTTTGGAAAAAAAAATGGCTTGCTGTGGGAAAAAGCGTTAGTGAGAAAGCTTCAGCAGAGACACTTTTCCCTCATGGTAATATATGCTTTTATGGTTTTATATGCTTTAATGATTTTAACCAGAATTGTTTTTAATATTAACAATGTTTAATACTGTTTTAATATTTGAATATTTGTAAATTTTAAATTGCATTCTAATACTTTTTTATTGTGAGCCACTTTGAGTCCCCGTATGGAGAGAAAAAGTGGGATATAAATAAACAATAATAATAACAATTCTTCAGGAGTGAAATTCCCTTCCAAGGGGGAAATTCCTCCCACTTCCTGTTGTCTCAGCCCTATTCTTAGCTGTGAATCATTTGTAAGTAAAATGTTTATAACTCGGGGGGTTGCCTGTAATATACTCTTCAAGTCAATTGAAGGATCAACAAACCTGTTGTCTCAGCCCTGTTCTTAGCTATGAATCATTTGTAAGTCACATGTTTGTAACTCAGGGACTGTCTGTACTATACTCGTCAAGCCAATTGAAGGATCAACAACCCTGTTCTTTCAACCCTGTTCTTAGCTGTAAGTCGGTGTTTGTAACTCGGGGATGGCTTGTGCTGTCAAAATGGAGCTGGGCTCACTATATGGAAGGGCTGGTTGTCCCACAACAAGGCCCCAGAGGCAGCTATAAACCCTTCCACACAACTATATAACCCAGATTATCAAGGCAGATCATCCACAATATCTGCTTTTAATTGGGGCCCCTTTCACACAGCCGAATAAAATCCCACAATTTGATTTGAAGTGGGATTTATGGCAGCGTGGACTCAGATAACCCAGTACAAAGTAGATATTGTGGGAGTTTCTGTCTTGATATTCTGGGATATAGGGCTGTGTGGAAGGGCCCTCGATTAACTAAGGCCCCTTCCACACAGCTGAATAAAATCCCACATTATCTGCCTTGAAACCAAATATTATTTATTTATTTACTGACTATACTTGCATTCCGCCTTTCTCACCCTTATCGACAACTCAAGGCAGTTTACAAGTCAGTACACGTAACAACAAAATACAAATTGAACATTAAAACAGTATAAAACCACAATCGAATAAAAACAATAAAAACCAGCAACATTATCATCAGCATCTCCTAGTTAAATAACGTTGTCCAAGTTCGACTGTCAAGTGATTCCATTTCCTATGTTAGTTACTCTGCATTTGTAAACGCTTGCTCATATAACCATGGATTAACTTGTCTCCAAAAATTTTTTTTTTGTCATGTCAGGAGCAGGTCGCTTCTGGTGTGAGAGAATTGGCCGTCTGCAAGGACTTTGCCCAGGGGACGCCTGGATGATTTGATGTTTTTATCATCCTTGTGAGAGGCTTCTCTCATGTCCCCGCATGAAGAGCTGGAGCTGATAGAGGGAGCTCATCCGCCTCTCCCCGGATTCGAACCTGCGACCTGTCGGTCTTCAGTCCTGCTGGCACAGGGGTTTAACCCACTGCTCCACCGTTAAGAGTGAGCCAAAATGTTAAGAGTGAGCCAAAATGTTAAGAGTGAGGGAGCTGATCTAATCTCCTTAGGGAGGGCGTTCCATAGCCAAGGGGCCACCACAGAGAAGGCCCTGTCTCTTGTCCCCACCAAATATATTGTAGTGTGGACTCAGATAACACAGTTCAAAGCAGATATTCTGGGATTTCTTGCCTTGATATTCTGGGATTTCTTGCCTTGATATTCTGGGATTTCTTGTCTTGATATTGTGGGATTTCTTGCCTTGATATTCTGGATTATATGGCTGTGTGGAAGGGCCTTGAGTCCACAGTGCCATATAATCCAGTTCAATGTGGATTTCATACAGCTGTGTGGAAGGGGCCTATGAGTGGTGGGAGACTTAAACATACCCAGTGAAAAGTGCCATATAATCCATTTCAATGTGTTCATAAAGCTGTTTGGAAGGGACCTATGAGTGGTGGCATACCCAGTGAACAGACAGTTCTATCTATACTTCGAGTGGGGTTAGTAAAAGCTGGCAGTGTTGGGAATAAACAGAGGAGGCTTTGCGGTAAACCTAAGTAAGAGCTCACAGTACATTCAGCAGGCTATGGATCAAACTTGGCTAGAAAACAGATCCCGCAAAGGATAAATGGATTAGGAGGGGGGGTTCTACCTAAGGGAGGGCGTTCCATAGCCGAGGGGCCACCACAGAGAAGGCCCTGTCTCTCGTCCCCACCAAATATATTGTAGTCTGGACTCAGATAACCCAGTTGAAAGCAGATATTGTGGGATTTTGTGCCTTGATATTCTGGATTATATGGCTGTGTGGAAGGGCCTTGAGTTCACAGTGCCATATAATCCAGTTCAATGTGGATTTCATACAGCTGTGTGAAAGGGGCCTATGAGTGGTGGGAGACTTAACCATACCCAGTGAACAGATAGTTCTATCTATACTTCGAGTGGGGTTAGTAAAAGCCGGCAGTGTTGGGAATAAACAGAGGAGGCTTTGCGGTAAACCTGAGGAAGAGCTCACAGTATATTCAGCAGGCTTTGGATCAAACTCGGCTAGAAAACAGGTTAGATGGATTGGGGGAGGGGGTGTCTACCTAAAAGGAGAGATGAGGAATCCCTGTCTGAGGAGGCGGAGGGGGGCCAGGGAGCACCTCACGTGCCCGGCTCTGCGGGGGTGGGGGAGGGGAGGCTTTGAGGCGCGCATCCCAACAAGAGAGGCCTAAAAACGGACAGAGCTGAGAGCCAGGCTCACATTTGGCAGGAAGGCCCTGTTTGAGGCGGCCTCCTCGCGCTCTGCTCACAGGGGAAAGCCAGGCCCCATTGTCCCGCCTCAGCCGCCAGCCAGCCCTCGCCCCACGGCGGTCCGGCCTCCCTTTCCTTCCCCGCCACCCTCGGTTTCTGCCCGCCTCGCCAGTCTTAGTCCTCCCGCCGCCTCGGTCCGAGTACCTTCTCCGGGAGAGGAAGGGACGCGGGTGTCAGTGCAGCACCCCGTTGCCTCCCGCCGCCGCCATCTTAACAGAAGCCCCTGAGCCTCAGCCCTAGCCAAGTCGCGCGAGAACTCACCACCGGGGAAGGAATCGAGAAAAGACGCGAGAACTGCGGGGAATTGGGTGGCGGGGGAGGAGGCAGGGCCGGACGACGTCCAGGTCTCGCGAGACATCGAGGGGAGGAAGTGACTTCCGCGAGACGTAAAGGATACTCCCGGTGACGTCACTTCTCGGGCAGGGGCTTCCTCAGGAGGAGAGGAAACAGGCCCCTTCCACATAGGGCAGTGTGGACTCAGGTAACCCGGTTCAAAGCGGATCTTGGGGGTTATCTGCCTTGTTTGGCTGCCTGGAAGGGCCCCGAGTCTCCTCCCTTTGGCCTCCTAAGCGGATCTATCGCGATACTGATCTAAAATGGTCACCAAGCACGCTCCAAAGCATAACTCCTTGAGACGTCGGCCCTTTCCGCGCAGCTGTACCGAATCCACATTGAACCGGATTATATTGTGTGGACTCGGATAATCCAGTTCAAAGCAGACCTTGTTATTCCGGATTATATGGCTGCGTGGAAGGGCCCCCCGCTTCTCCCTTTCACACAGATTTGGGTCAACTGAACCGCGCGAAAAAGCGACTAATTACCCTCAATCTCTAAATCCGTGTTTAAAACGGATGGCGGTTGAAAGATGCAGGCGGAAAAGAGTTTGGGTGCTGAGCTCTCGCGAGACTTGGCGAGGCCCTGCTGTGGGCCTCCGCGTCCGAGATCTGTCAATAATCCCAGCTCGGTCTCGAGATCTCGCTGTGACGTCATACGGAAAGGAGGGTGGCGCGTGCCGAGGTTGCGGCAAGTCTCGCGCGACCTCCCGAGCCGAGTTGAACGACGCCTTGGATTGTTCAGCAGTTTTTGGACCAGACGACTTCCGCGAAGAGAGCGGGGTTCTCACGCCGCTCTTTGTAATCTCGCGAGATGTACAATGAAATTCTTTTTTTCTGAAATATTTTCGAGATTTGCCATAGTCGCAGTTAAGATGCGCGGTTGTCTTGTTCTGTCACTCCAGAGCAGTGTTTTTAAGGCTCACCAATCTAGTTTAGCTACATATAGAAGTGATTCTGGACACTGTTCCCTCCTGTTTACTTCCTGCTTCTTGACATCTCTGACCCTGCAGTCCATTGAGGTCAAGATGGCTCTTCTGCCCAGTCATCCTCACAACAGCCTTTGGTATACAATTACTTGGGCAGCATCTGTATTGCCGTTTAATGCTCCAAAGTTAATTTTTGTCTGCATTTATTCTTAAGTTGTTGACGTGCTGAACAAGCCCTATGAGGAGCGGCTTAAGGAGCTGGGCATGTTTAGCCTGAAGAAGAGAAGGATGAGAGGAGATATGATAGCCATGTATAAATATGTGAGAGGAAGCCACAGGGAGGAGGGGGCAAGCTTGTTTTCTGCTTCCTTGGAGACTAGGACGCGAACAATGGCTTCAAACTACAAGAAAGGAGATTCCATCTGAACATGAGGAAGAACTTCCTGACTGTGAGAGCCGTTCAGCAGTGGAACTCTCTGCCCCGGAGTGTGGTGGAGGCTCCTTTGGAAGCTTTTAAACAGAGGCTGGATGGACATCTGTCAGGAGTGATTTGAATGCAATATTCCTCCTTCTTGGCAGAATGGGGTTGGACTGGATGGCCCATGAGGTCTCTTCCAACTCTTTGATTCTATGATTCTACACCAGGATAGCCAATATTCCAGAAGACTGGAGCAGAATTCAAAACGATCTGAACAGATTAGAGAGATGATTTCTTGCTTTGTAAAACAGAGCAACATATCATATGTGATTACACCCCTTAAGCAACATCTGTTTAACATCCTGTTCAACATCTTTATTAATGACTTAGATGAAGGCTTAGAAGGCATCATCAGATTTGCAGATGACACCAAATTGGGAGGGCTAGCCAATACTCCAGAGAACAGGAGCAGAATTCAAAACGATCTTGACAGATTAGAGAGATGATTGGCCAAAACTAACAAAATGAAGTTCAACAGTGACAAATGCAAGATACTCCACTTAGGCAGGAAGAAATGAAATGCAAAAATACAGAATGGGGGACGCCTGGCTCGAGAGCAGCATTTTGGTAGAAGCTAACTAAACCAGCATGGTGTATTGATTTCAGCATTGGATTATGACTCTGGTGATGAGGGTTCAACTCTTTGTTCAGCCATTAAACTCACCAGAAGTCCTTGGGTAAGACATGATTTCCTAGCCTCAAAAGAAGACAAAGGCAAACCTCCTTTGAACAAATCTAGCCAAAAGAAAACCCTGGTATTGTTGATGTGCACCCTCAATAAATTTCCAATGTATGGGGATCCTATCCCATCCATATTTCACTAGAGAAGGTGCATTCTCAGGGGCGACTCCTAAGTTGTGGAACTCACTGTCGGAGGAAATTAGATCGGCTTCCACCCTCATGACATTTATGAAAGGCTTGGACTTTCCTCTTCAAAGCAGCTTTTAAGTGAATCCAGGCACTTATAGATACAGAAGAATAGGGAGTTTTGGACTGATTTTAATTTTTAGTAATGTGGATATTTTTATGGATTGTTGAACCTTTAATACTTGTTTCGTTATGATTTTTAATTATTTGTATGTGTGTTTTGAATATGATATGAGCCGCCTTGGATCCACCCTGGAGAAAGGCAGCATAGAAATCTTTGTAATAAAGAAATAAATAAAATCTTTTCCAGAGGGGGGCTGCCTTCACCTTCCTTTGAGGTTGAGAGAGTGTCACTTGACCAAGGTCACACGGGGTTTCCCAGGGCTACGTAAGGATTTGCACTCCACACAGCTGTACAAAATCCACATTGGACTGGATTATATGGCAGTGTGTCAGATAACCCAGTACAAAGCAGATGTTGTGGGTTCTCTGCTTTGATATTCTGGGTTATTTGGCTGTGTGGAAGGGCCCTTGGTTTCTGGGGGTAAATAGAAAGGCATGAGATCCCATTTGAAAGTTAAACAGGTTCGGCCCTTGTTAGTATTTGGATGAGGGACCATCAAAGCTGGTGATATTTCTGAGAAGGAACTGGCAGTACACTTCTGGGTATTCCTTGCTTAAGAAAACCCTATTAAATCCAAAAGTCATAAGTACATTGGCAACTTGAAGACACAGACACACAAATAGACTAATGTTGTAGTCCAGTGCTCAAAACACCACACACGTTGACTCTCAGGCCCCTTCTACACAGCCATGTAACCCAGAATATCAAGGCAGATAATCCACAATATCTGCTTTGAACTGGGTTATCCGAGCACACTGCCACTGGATGACCTCCACAGAGAACTGGATGGGGAGTGTGACCCTGCTCGTTCTCTTGGATATCTCAGCGGCTTTTGATACCATCGACCATGATATCACCTGGGGAGACTCGCTGGGATGGGACTCAAGGGCACACTTTTACTGTGGCTCCAGTCCTTCCTGGAGGGTTGTTTCCAGTCGGTGAAGCTGGGGGACTCCTGCTCGGACCCCTGGCCGTTGACCTGTGGGGTCCTACAAGGCTCTATTCTGTCTCCCATGCTATTTAACATCTACATGAAACTGCTGGGAGAGGTCATCCGGAGTTTTGGAGTACAGTGCCATCTCTACGCAGATGACACCCAACTCCACTACTCTTTTCCACCAGATTCCAAGGAAGCCCCGAGGATACTGGACCAGTGCCTGACTGCTGTGACAATCTGGATGAGGACAAACAAGCTGAGGATCAATCCTGACAAGACAGAGGTCCTCCATGTCAGTTGCCCATTTGACCAGGGTATTGGGTGGCAACCTGTGCTGGACGGGGTTGCACTCCCCCTGAAATCACAGGTCTGTAGTTTGGTGGTCCTCCTGGATTCAGCACTAATGCTTGATGTGCAGGTGTTGGCAGTGGCCGGAAGACCTTTGCACAATTAAAACTGGTGTGCCAATTGCAACCTTACCTTGTGAAGTCTGACTTGACCATGGTGGTCCATGCCTCAGTTACCTCTAGACTGGACTACTGCAATGCACTCTACGTGAGGCTACCCTTGAAAAAGACCCAGAAATTACAACTTGTCTAACGTTCAGTAGCCAGACTACTAACTGGTGTGAATTACAGGGAGTGGTCTACCCCCCTGTTTAAGGAGCTCCATTGGCTGCCATTTATTTTCCGGTCCCAATTCAAGGTGCAGGTTATCACCTATAAAGCCCTAAACCATTTGGGACTCGCCTACCTTTGTGACTGTATCTCCCTCCATGAACCAGCTCGGGTCCTCTGATCTTCTGGGGAAGCCCTTTTTTCGCCCCTGCCAGTTTCACAAGCTCGCCTTGTGGGCACTAGGGAGAGAGGCTTCTCCTCTGTGGCCCCCCGACTCTGGAACTCATTACCTGGAGAGATTAGGAAAGCCCCTACCCTAGAAACCTTTAAAAAGAACCTTAAAACCTGGCTCTTCCGCTGCGCCTTTGGTGAGTAGGTATACAACCTCACACTATTGCTCAGCCTCAACGTTTTTGTCCTTGGAGTATACATCCCCCCCCCCCCGCTTCGTGGGAAAGCTTGGTTCCACAATCCCTGTTTTAATTAGTTCCTCTTTGCAAATAACCTGCTCCTCCTTTTATCTCACCCGGGTTTTTTAATCAGTTTTTTAATCAGTTTATTCTGCACATGTGGCCCGCCCATTGTTACTGTGACTGTGTTTATTCAAATCGAATCATTTATTTCGGTCATTGACCAGCACAGGAAATAGTCACATTTTCATACAAACTTGGTATGTTTGGTACATTAAAAATATAAATATAACTACTGAAGCACAATATGGGTGAGGGAGCAGAAGTGAAGGGGAAACAGGGTAAAAACATACAATGCCCAGATCAATCACCAAATTGTAGATTCAGAGAAGAAGCTACAATTTGGTGATGGATCTGGGCATTGTATGTTTTTACCCTGTTTCCCCTTCACTTCTGCTCCCTCACCCATATTGTGTTTATTGTAATCTCATATTGTTAATGTATTGATATGTTTTATGTAATTATGATGATGTTTGTTGCTTGTGTTTTTGGTTTTATTTTGCTGTAATTTGTTGTTTGGGCCTAGCCTCATGTAACCGCCCCGAGTCCCCGTTGGGAAAGATGGTGGCGGGTTATAAATAAAGATGATGATGATGATGATGATGATGATGATGATTATTATTATTATATAATGTGGATTTTATACAGCTGTGTGGAAGGGGCCTCAGAGATAGATATGATCTGACTATAATCTCTATATTAGATAATCAGAGAATACTAGTGTCTG